TACGGCATTGCAAGGACATCAGGTTATTTTGAATCATATATATATATTCTATAGGTATATCTTGGCAAATCTCTAAGTTTGCAAATTCATTTCTTTCTCAGTGTGTAATAACTTTTTACAGAAGAAATATATGCAACATTAACTTTCTTAAAAACAATTAGCAGTATGGCTCTAACTTTGGCTTACAAATCGGGGAAACAATTACTAAAGTTAAATATTTTTGTATTTTGATGGAAAGCGATGGCAAACGCAGCGAACACATTATTGAAATAAAAAACCAATGTGAAAGTTTTAATAAAACTTAAATTTAAAAAAAAATCACGGAATAATAAATAGAAATTATAAAGATCAAGCTGCGAGAAAAAGAAAAATATTTTGACGATATCAAAGAATGTAATCATAAAAACGTGATCTCCAAAGATAAGATTTCCGAGATAGATAAGATTAAGTAATGTAAATAATGGAAATATTAGGCATGGAAAAATTCTTTGTTATTGCATTATAAAGGAATACTTTTGAGAATAAAAATAGCTGATATAAGCCAATCGCAAGCAATTTACAAGAGGAAAAAAATGAATTCGAGAACTTTATTGTTAGATCTCGCATATCTTTCACTGACAACTACGTGAATTATGATAAATACAAATTATTATCGACTAACCGTACGGATTATCCAGAAGGAATTCTTTTCCATCTTTGCCCTTTAGTCTATCTTTGACCGGATTGAAATCAAGCCGCCCGGCGATGGAAAGGGCAGTGACAAGCTCGGGGCTGGTAACAAACGCGTGTGTCGCCGGATTAGCATCGTTCCTACCAGTGAAGTTTCGATTGTACGATGTGACAATCGTGTTCTTGTCTCCTTTCTTGATGTCCTGACGATCCCATTGACCAATGCAAGGTCCGCACGCATTAGCTAGCACCGTACCTCCAAATTCACGAAGAGTTTCGGCCTAGAAATAAAAACGTCATTTATATTCATTTAATAAATTGTACAATTAGATGTACAATTTACTTATTGTGCAATTTCTAAATTGCACAGTTTTACAAGTAGTAAAAATAAAGCACTTACGATTCCATCGCGCTCGATTGTTGCGCGAATTTGCTCGGATCCAGGCGTGACGTTAAACGCAGACTTTGCCTTCAAACCGTGCTTTAGAGCTTGTTTGGCGATATTCGCGCATCGACCCATGTCCTCGTAGGAGCTGTTGGTGCAGGAACCGATCAGGCCGACCTTGATCTCATTTGGCCAGTCGTTCTTTTTAGCCGTTTCGCCTGTAATGATTACGAAATATTTTTATATTTGTAACTATGTTTATTTTTCATTTTAATATAAATATTGTTTAGACTGAGATAAAAATGTCTTTCTAATTGAAATAGTTTAGCTACCCAGTTTAGAGATCGGATGAGCCAAGTCCGGCGTGAAAGGTCCGTTCACGTGCGGCTCTAAAGTCGACAGATCTAACTCGATGACCTGATCGTATTTGGCGTTGGAGTCGGCCGTCAGCAGACTTTTGTGTTGATCGGCTGCTGCGGCGACTTCCGAGCGTCCGGTCGCCTTTAAGTAATCTTGCATTCTGTAATTGTACGGGAAGAGCGAGGTGGTGGCGCCGATTTCCGCACCCATGTTGCAAATGGTGGCCATTCCAGTGCAACTGATGCTGTCGACACCTGGGCCGAAATATTCGACGATGGCACCAGTGCCGCCTTTGACGGTCAGAATACCGGCTACTTTGAGAATGATATCTTTCGGACTGGTCCAGCCCTTCAGTTCTCCTGTGAGCTTTACGCCGATAACTTTGGGGCACTTGAGCTCCCACGGGATGTTTGCCATCACGTCGACAGCGTCGGCACCGCCGACACCGATGCACAGACAGCCTAGACCGCCTCCGTTCGGAGTGTGCGAGTCGGTACCGATCATCAGCAAACCGGGGAAGGCGTAATTCTCAAGGATGATCTGATGGATGATGCCGGAGCCGGGATTCCAAAAGCCGACGCCGTATTTGGCACCTGCAGTTTTTAGGAAATTGTAGACTTCCTTGTTGATGTCCTTGGCACGCTTCAGATCCTGATCGCCGCCAATTTGAGCTTCGATTAAGTGATCGCAGTGGATGGTGGACGGCACCGCAACTCTTGGTAAGCCTGACAGAAAGAATTCAGTGAGAATTAAAAGATTTTGTCACTTTGTGTCGAGATTGATGACTTTACCTGAACTGATAAATTGCAGCATCGCCATTTGTGCAGTTGCATCTTGCATGGCGACACGGTCTGGTCGCAGTCGAAGATAGCTGGTGCCGCGAACAATATCTTGCTTGTCAGGTTCATCAAGATGGGAATAAAGAACCTTCTCAGACAGAGTGAGCGGCCGATTCAATCTGAAAAGCATTCAGAAGACAAGTAAATGACAATTCTTAAATGTTTTGTACTAAAATTAAGCTGTCATAGCTGCTTGCTAACATCTTTATATGTTTTATAGACATTGATATTGGCATTATTGCTCTGACATTTCTAGAATCATTATAGAATAATTAAAACAGTTTACCTCTTTTTAACCACTTTAAGATTGTCTTCTAGTTTGTCGTATGGCAAGTAGCTAGTTGTATCGAATTTGGACATCGCCACCTTCGCAGCAGCGAAGCTCAATGGGCTTACGCTGAAACATCGTTGCTGTATATCCGCAGCTAAGGCAGACAATTTCTGTAAAGCAAGTAAATTATCTGATGTTTGTTTCTGCAATGCGTTTCTGAATAGCGTATGTAGATTAGAAATAAATGTATCAAATTAATATGTGCCAACGATCACTTGTCATTGTGCTGTGTGATGCTATTTATGTTTGATTGCAATTACGTAATTGCATTCATTTAGATCTGAGATATGTGTTGCTTATTGCACTTGACGTATTTATTTCTACAGATATGCGTCGTAATAAATGTGTCTAGATAACTACGTCTGGCGATAATTGCAACAATGCGCGCTGATAATAATAACGACGACGTTTGCGATATGTCGCAATAATGCATTTAGTTTAAATGCATTATTTTTTGTTATCTATCTTAATAAATATTTCTCTAATGCTTTTTATTTTTCAAATTTCTTCCAGATCTTCTAATTCAAAGTCAAACCTCGCGCTCTCTTCGCCCACCTGCGCCACGCAGATTTAACCTTATGTCCTCGAAACGTGAGCGATATATATGTGCAGTTTGCCACATGATTACATAACGTCTTTTGTACATTCCGTCGCCCGAAAAATTTTTCACTTTTGTTCAAATCGTCATACGTTTAATTCACGAATCCTGTGATATTCATTTGTCGAACATTGACACATCCACTGTGCGCCCTACACGCTCCTTCCCATGATCGATTTCCCTGTCATTCACTCTGCTCCAAAAAATCGGAGCAAGATAATTTTAACACAGAAATGTATCTTCCACATTTCGAAAAACGTCAATTATTCATAACACCGTTCTAAAAAACCATTCTAAATACTATTATGATATACGAGAGTTCCCTTCCTCGAGCATAAGAGGTCAATATATTGACCTCCGTGCGGAGAAGAGGGGAAAAAGAAGTTCGAAGCGTGCTTATGTCTCATGTGATGCAAAGTTTCTTTTCACTTTACCTGTGCACGAAGCACTCGCGTGCAATACGACATGATGAGTGAATTAGCGATCTGCTGTCGTGAACTCGTGCTCGAAGGGCGCAAGCGCGTGTGGGAAAGCGTAACAGCCTTCCCTTGTGGCAGTTCTTCTCGAACCGGCCACTAAAAGGAAACTGGGGATGAGAGCATAGTGTTCTTCATGCCATCAATGCATAATTTTTGCGCTTGCGCGACAACCGCTCTACATTTTTCCACCAAATATCTCGAAGAATTACGCCTGTCAGGGATGTCTATCGATGTTCGATATTATCGAATCTTCGATATTTTTTACCTTTGACAGAAAATTATATAGAATATTAGACAGAATATTAAATAGAAAAGTTATTAATACAATACTGATACAATAAATTATTTTAGACTATTTATAAGAATATATTGTATCGTATAAATCAGAGCTCGGCGTTAGTTGCACATTTCGGCTCGATTCTTGAGAGGACGTCTCCCGCTCTCCCACTACCGCGCGGCCGCTGGCGGCCGAGCCGCCGATAGCCTTGACTCAGGAGCGTCTGTGTAACAAATAGGCTGATGATGAGCGGACACCTTTCAGAAAATAAAATTTTCTTCGTTATAGAAATAATATTTATTTTCACTAATTATAATTAAATGTCTTTATTACATTCATTATAATAATTTACCTAGACAATAATATATAATATTTAAAAATAAAATAATTAAAATAAATCAAATTATTAAAAAATTTAACTTTTTAATAAAAATTGTATGATTTTTTAATTAGAAATCAATAGCTTTCCACATCAGGGTATCGAGAGATCTTTCAATCTCTCCAGACGGTTTTTCGAAATTTGTACATTTTTAAAAAAGTTTGGGGTGTGGCGGTTATGTGGGTCGCCCCACCATTTTTCGTTTGAAATCGAGTACCTACGTTGATGCGTCTCGTTGAGACAAGCAACTTTGGTCCTATAAACATATAGCGGCCAACGAATAATTACGGAGTTATAGCACTTTTTCGTCGCCAATTTTTTTGTTATCGGGGCCTGTAACTCGGAAACTATAGGAAATAGAAGATCGGACCATAGGACCTTATTGGCAGGGTATCGAGAGATTTTTCAATCCCTTCAGGCGGTTTTTCGAAAACGCCGAGCTTTGGTATAAATCATCTCATCACACACATCGAAAGTAGATTTGCAGATGTGCGAGTATATGTTTAGCAATTATTCAACAATTAGGTTTTGTAAATCTAATTTTAATTTAAATTTGATTTATATGACTTATTTTTTATATCTGACAGCACAATCAGATTTATCCAAAACTATTGTGTTTAATAAATTAATCTTAATAAAGTTATAAAACATTATGTTTTATAACTTCTATAATTTTTTATTATACAAAAAAAACTGAATACAAATTTTATTATAAACTTTTATGAAAAATATCGACTATTCGATATACCGATTACTCGATATTCGATAGATTCGATAGATTGAATTCTGACGCTCTTACGGCAAGTAATTGTTGGGAGATTTCAGTTACCAGCAATTGGAAATATTTATTTTGTTAAAATTACCGATTAAACGTGATTTTTTTTTAATAAGAAAATCTTTTTATTGTCTACATCAGAATTAAAAATCATTTTTCTATGATTAAAGTATATGCGCTAATACACTGCAGAAAAGTAAACTTGAATCCAAGAAAGAAAAAAATTAAAAAATAAATTTTTTTTAACTTTTAGAGCTGTTAATTTATAACAATATTCTCTTTATACATAAATTATGCAATTTGTACGTATGTTTCCACAGTGTAGAATTACGGAATAAATTTTGTTCTGCGCAACTGGAGAGAATTGTTGCAAAGAATTGATCTGCATGTTCAGATACTAAAAGAAACGAAGATATAGAGATGGAATATTATAAGAAATACTGTGATTGATTCAATTCTTCAATTATAATAAGGTAATGAAAGAACGAAACCCGATACGGTGCACATATTACATTAATCAAATTCTTTTACGTTCTTTTTTATATCACTCTTGTAATTAAATCAATGCGAAGAAGTAAAAAATATAGTTCGATCAGGGAAAGAAGTGCGAACGTCATTTGTTTACAAATCATTATCATCACACACAGACTGCATGTCAATGTAGTGAATTACTGACTAAAGAAGACATTACATCGATAATATTTTATCGATGTATATTAATCTTATTTTTAATTTCGTCTAAATAATAGCGCTTTAGCATTGGAGTTGAATGAGACAATAACGATCGATTACTTTGAATAATCACATTTCGATTTTTTATTAAATGTGCTGCACAAAAACCTTCACAGGGTTAAAGAAACATACGAGACGAAAAGTTCTTTATGAACGCAGTGGGTCCTTGACACGATAAATCTGTTGTAGGTGGACCAGTGCAAATTTCGACACAATTACCTTGTCGAAACTCGTGTACATTTACAATTCGTCGTTTACAATTAACAATATATCAAAAGAAATGCCCTGAATAGACTTTATTTTCATTAAAAGTTCCATCGAGTCTTATGCAGGATGTCCTCGAAAGATAAATCACTGCGAAAGTCATAAAAAGTCATTTATGATATACGCAATGACAAATTGCGTATTGACAAATTGACAACAATCGCCATTACAAAAGAGAAACTTAGGAGAGCGGGATTCTAACTGAAATCTTGAAGCGATCTTATTTGGTCAAATTAGATTGCGGATAACAATAAAACTGTACATTACACCGTTATTATTTTAGAATTAAAAAAATTTAAAGATTATCCGGAAATAGAGAGACATTAACTCCATCCTAAAATAAAGCAAATAAAAAAAGGCAACAGGAAGTATTTACTTTCTTGACGGAAAAAATTGCAGTTAAGAAATGTGCGTTATATTTAAAGTGTTGTAAACCTAACGTGTGTTTATGAATTTTTTGAAATAATATTTTTAAAATTGTTTTTAATGCTTTAACACTAAATATAGCATATAATCAAGTCTCAAATTTAATTTTTGCTACAATATTTTTGCTTAAAATTAAATCAAAAAATGTTTATTGTTTAAATCTTTAAAGATGTTGATATGTTAATTTTCCTTGAGGAAACATTAATTTAAAATTAATCAAAGTATCCTTCAAAAAAAGAAAGTACAATAAATTTGGAATATCTTGTACAAAGTGCTCTATCACCGATCCTTTCACTTACTTACAGGTTCTTGAACCAGTTTAAAGTTAATTTTCCCATAACAAAATAATCACTTATCGAAGAATCATTATTTGAGAGCCATTATTATTTCATCAATTAACAAAATTATTAGAAGAAAAGCTATGAGAATCAAAGCGTGGATTTCAGAGCGCAAAAAGACATTTTTATTATCAATTTACAGAAAGTAATGATATAGAATTACCGATATAGAAATGTTTTGTGTGTGTTTTGTGTTATTTTTTATTATATTACATTCAATATTTTATATTTAATATTATTATTTAATATTATTTCTTAGAAATACTGTTCTGTTGTCTCCACGTGAGCTAAGCAATTCGACCAACTAATACGCCGCGGGCTATGACGGCGAAAGTAATAGTTTGCTCCAATTTTGCTCGAGGTTATATCAAACGTTACACCCCCATATTTAAGCAACGCTCTCACATGCGCATTCTTTTTAAATTCTTATTGTTAGCTGCTGATTCTTAAATTCGCAGATTAATCGGTCTTGAGCTTCACACGTTTCTCTATTTATAACTTTTTATGAATAACGTCATAGCTAGCTATTAACAGTTTTTCCTTAAATTTTCTATATTAACTTTTTTCTATTTAATCTCCTATGCTGAGCACGAACGAGCGATTTTCTTCGGGCGTTCGACGTAACGTTGCCGTAAACGACGCCTGGGGCTTAATTTCGATATCGTTTGAAAAATCAAACCCATAGATCGAATTGACGCGCGAAAGGAAAAGGCCACATGCGTTGTCGAACACAAGACTCATTTGCAAATCTATTATGACAGCGTTTCTCATAGCAAGATTTGACACAGAAAAAGATTACGAGAGAAAACGTAACATTAGACTATAAGTTCTAGCTCATACAATATTTACTAATTCGTTAAATAACAGATAGAGAGTTGATTAATGATTATTTTTATTGCATCCATAATATGCAACTTTATATTTTTTTTAAATGCAGTTTCTCTTACATCAATTAATTTATCTTATTACTCAATTTTGTCTATAAAAACCCTGAGCAATTATGTCAAATTATGTTAGAATAAAATATTAATATCTTACTGCACAAAATGATTACAAGAATCAATTTACATATTATATAATTCGATTTAGCAAAATAAAAGCGATCTTAATCATTTTCACATCTTTATCTAGTCAAAAATCAGATTTCTTTCTGATTTTATTACTATATTTTATTAATCGTCAAGGAGTATTATATCCTTAATAACACTGAGCGACAGAAGCCTCAGATACTCGATTATCCTATCAATCTACAAGGCGACCGATGTTGCAAACATGCGAGGACTAAACGAAAAGAATTTCGGTGAATTTGCGAGCGGTTGCAACGGGATCGGGCGTGTCTGATCCCATAACTGGACGAAAGAAACGGGGTGCTCCAGCATGATGTAATCCTGGAGAAAGCGGACGCGTATATGGTCGCATGCTCTGCAAAAAAAAGCGGCAGACCGGCATCTCCGTACTCTCGCATAATCCATCAGTTACGAGAATCATTATTTCCTACTGTCTGTCATGTATTCGTGTGACTGTAATCGTGCAAGGCAAGAAAATCCCGAAGCGAGCTGCGAAGGTCCTGCCGGCTACTTCAATGACGTCGCATGGCTGGAATCTTCTCGACGAGATAATTTACCGCGTGCTTCGCAGATTCGCGCGTGATAATTGCCTGTAAGGATTCTATCGACCATTTAATCGTGCGGATACAATATAAACATTATTTAATTTTGAAAATATTGATAGATTAAATTAAAATTCTTAAATAAATTATTATATCTATTATTTAAATATATTTGCAATTTTAGTTGAGATTTAAATTTTAACTTAAAATAAATTAAACAAAGAGGCAAACGTAAAGTAATTGCTCCAACTACTTTCTGTTCCTTTTTTTATTTTTCAACACTTGATTCTTAATTTGTCGTCTTCTAATAATTAATCCTCAAACATGGTTAATGCGTCTTTTACAAAGAGATTTAAGTATATCTCTGAATGATATTACCATGTATCTTTTCCGGGGCGAGATATAAAATTTACCCGAGAAAAGTTTTGTATAACGGTATATTTACTCGAAGGACAATCACAAATTTGCAAAATTGTTGTTAGTAATTATTTCAGCGGTAACGTAGAGAAAAATCAGCGGCTAGAATTTTTCTCTTGATGAGTTCCGGATGCTAAAAGTCGAGGTTAAAGAAATTCATCGTTACCAAGAAATCCACGGACTTTCTAAAAATAAGAGTTTATTTTATTTCTTAGCAAAACACATGACGCTGCTAATTAATAAATTTCTCATAATTATTGTAGCGAGCTTATTAAAGCGTATTATGCGTATTAGCGTGGAATGCATCAAAATTGTTTCCAGAATATAATCTTTAAATAATAAAATTCAGAATGAATAAGAATATTCCAAAAAAAAAATTAAAATTTCAGATCTGAAAGATTAACTGGCAATAAGAATACGATTTTTCGTGATCTTAAATCATGTTACTTCAGATAAACAGACATAAATTTGCTACATTCTGTTCATGCTACAAAAACTGCCACTCTATTCAGGAGCGTGTATCATGATGTATGTATTACACATATAAGGAATTTCCTATAATCCTTGAAATTCTGTAAAAATCCGCATTAATACACCAGAAGCGAGAAAGGAAATTGCTATTGTGTACAAATTGCGTTTTCACAAGAAATTGCTTACATGACAGCGATTTTTTTTTATCGAAGGAATCGCGGAATTATTCTCACAACTGTCTCCTCTAATAATTGCAAATCGATCGATTCCAGCGGATCGATTTCCATCTCTCAACAGTACTCACTTGTCGCGGCAAAAGAATTACGCCCGCGGTTACACCAGCGGGCTTCGCCAAAGTTCCATAAAGCTGCTTACGTAAACGGAGGCAAAGACATATTGCCACCATAAACTACGTCTTTAGTCGTTTCTGGCCTCCCAGAGATGTAATTATTATTTATTTATAGCTTAAATATCACACACCCACCTTTTCACCTAATTATACAAGGTCATTTTTCTTTAGCTGCATGAAAAACGCGTTAGACTTTATTTTTTTTTATTAATTACTCATACGGAAATATTTAAATTAAAATAAAAGTACAATTAAGTGTAAAATATATTTTTTCTAGCTTTTACATTATTTTATTTTACTAATTAGACACATTTATGTTTTCCCAGAAATATCTTCCGCAATTTAGAAACACTGTTTTTAGCGCACTTGATGTTCTTTTAATTGTTTAAATCTTGACCTTGCGTACATCCTACATTTTTTCTCAGAGAATTTTGGTGTTGGACATAAAGGTCTGGACACATAAAGGTCATTTACGAGGTCACAAGTTCTCTCACGAATTATGTGACTCAACTGGTCTGACCCAATCTCTGGAATTTGGTAGCGATCGGAAAAAATGATAAAGGAAAATTAGCAGATATAAAGAGTGACAAAATTTTTGCTATAACAATACTAATTTAACAAGTATAAAATGTTTTCTGTGACTACATTTTGTTGCAAAAATTTAAAAAACAGAAAAATAGTTTTAATATGTTTAAATTGAACATTAGCTTTCTGTAAAAATTACTTGAAAGAAGAAAAAAGATTTAAAGCTTATAATATTATTATATAAATATTTTATAATTTATATAATAATATTATAAATTATGTTATTTTACACATTATTATATTATAATAATATAAATACGAAGACTTCAAAAGCCTCTCTTATCTAAATGATGAAATTAACAGATTCGTCAGAAAGTTTTTGCTAGGTAATGAACTATACTTAATGGATAAATATCTATTAAACTAAGAATTCATTAGAATAAATCAGGATATACATACGTCGATTATAAACCCCGCATTCCGCGAATGCGACATGACGCGTTACGTCAACATACATATTTGAAACAAGTTGAATGCAAACACAAATGCAAAATACTCTATTGAATACAGCACACGCGAAACGCGTTTCTTTACATACAATTCTGAATTTGTTACTATACACTAGCGTAACGCATAAGGCCGAATTTGGTGGAGCGTAGGCTCTTAAGTGTACTGCGAGTGACTCTGATCTAACAGAGAAAACAACGTACCTACGTCATCTTGGAACTCACATAACTTGCGCTTTGTAAAAGGCATCTGCACGACTACTAGGACGCAAGTGTCTCCTTTTCAAGTGACCGCTACCTTTTTTACAGGCGTTGTATTTTTCCCAGAGATTCCTTTCTCTCATCATAGATCCACGCAGAATGTGCGAGCTATTGCAATTGTACCAGAAATTGCCCGCAGCACCCTCGTAGGCAACTTCTTTGTTCATCGTACATTGCTTTATATTATAGCAAACTAAACTAATTTTTTTTGCACTTACAAAACGACGATCGAATGTTACAAAACAATTTGTAAAATTCTATAAAACTATCGTGTCGAACTACGCGATGAAATAAACGCGAAAATCAAACACTTATTTTTAATATTAAATATTAACGTTTTAACATTAAATTTAATAATAAATTGATTATAATCTGATAATAAAAAATAATAAAAATAATTATGGTATAATGTATGTCTGATACATTATCGTGTTTATGATTAAAAATTTTTCCCGTGTAATATGATTAAAAATACCCTGTTAAATAGAGATTTGTAGAATAATCAATTTGCTCGATAACTCGTGATGAAGAAATGAGCTATTGATAGTTTCTAGACAACAATCGCGTAAAACGCCGCAGTAACTGCATGTGCTTTTCCGATTATGTAAATCTTTTAATAACGATTGTAAATTACGCTAGGCAAATTAACACAACTACCTCGCGTCACAGAAATAAAAGCGAAAAAAATATGATCAATAATTCAAATAACAATGAAAGCATTATTAAAGTAGAAATGCGTTGCTGCGGCATTGAACGAGTCGTTCTCTTCGAATTAAAACAGTTCATTATCTTCATTGTAATAATAGTCGTTTTGCTCACAAAAGTGATGCAATTGAACAGCTGTCCGGCATGTTGGTAAATCGATCTTACTGTTGATTCATTTGGCGGTTACTTCGCTCGTTCATCAACTTGTACTGTTTCAGGGCGTACAGAATCAGCCGACGTTCGGTCGACTTTTTATCGCAGGTTTCTCACGATCCGAATGACAAAGATCAATGACGACTTTGCTACAGAATATACAATAATATAATTTTTTTAATAAAAAGATTTCAGAATAAACAAAATTTTAACACTAATATATACAAAAATTTAACGGAAAGTTAGGTTTTATTTATAGGCTGTTTTTTAAAAACTAAAATAGAAGGAGCAAATAATAAAAGTTGATCAAAATTGATTTGTTTCCGTTATTGTACAAGATTCAATGATGTAATTGTCTAGATTTAAAAAAGATTCATCGCTGATTAGCATACATCAATGATTAATAAGACAACGCGGATACTAAGTCGGATGCTAAATAAACTTGTGTTGCTTCAGGAAGACGGAGTCAGATTATCAAGATGGTAATTCGATCCAAACGTTCGCAGCACGCGTTCCGATATTCAGGTGCAAATGCAACCCTCCGAGGTCGTCCGAGGAAGATCGATTTTGGTGACATTGTTGTAACAAAATATCCAGTTGCCGAAGAAGCAATTTCATCACGTGACTATAATAATAAAAATGTATTTTGACAAAGAACTTATGTTCGACATATAATTAACTGTCATAACTGCTTGATTTAAATTTTTTTAAATTTATTATTAGCCACTCAAGTTGTCTGGTTATGAAAAAAGGTCTACCTTCTCACAAAACGATGCGTCATCTCGTTTCGCGTCGTACATCATGCACGTAACACGGAAAGTGTCCCCCGATCTGGGACAGTCGGTGTACCCCACCCACAGTGATCCATCGATCCCGATGGCCTCCGGTCTCTCCCCGTCCTTTTTCGCTTCTCCTCCGCGCGATACCCTTCCCTTTCGATCTTTGGTCC